AACCTTCTTTAGGGTTTTAAAATTTGTTCGTTTTGTTTTAATTTCTCAATTCTGGTTTACGTCTTAGATTCTGAAGTTAGAGACTGAAATTTACTCTATTTGTTTCCAGTTTTAGTAATGATGTTAGGGCACTAATTAAGGTTAGTGAATAGGAAGTGCTGTTTTATGTTTATGTACATTTTATCTCTCCCTGATTTGTCAGTATAATTGATAAATATATTATTTAAGTCTATGATTTTAAGTTCCAAAAAAAAAAAAGTAAAATGATTTTTAGCTTTGTTTATTTACAAATTTTCTGAATTTCTTGATCTGGCTATTTTTAGTCATCCTTTTGCATATCAGCGAATTTTGTTGATTATGAAAGTCATTCTTCCTCAAACAGATGATATGGTTCACAGATCAAAAGTTTTTCACTTTTTATCTACTTTTTGTTTACGTTTTTTTATTTGCCTTAGAATTATTGTAGAATAAGAAAAACTCTTTGCGAAAAAGAATCTTTCTTCTTTGTTAGAAAAAAAATTCTTTTTTTCAAAATGGCTAGAAAATTTCAAGAATGCAAAAATCTCCTTTATACATTATGAACATATATAATTAAAAAAAAATCAATTATGAGAGAATTTTTTTTGTTTTTTAAATTATAAAACCACAAAGAATTAGGATCTGTGTAGAATATGATTTAATTTTCTGTCGAAAACAGTTTTCTATAACTCTAAGAAATTTCAAATTATATTTCTCATTTGATCTTACATTTTGATCTGGTTACTTTTTTTGTTTTTTGCATATATTAAATAAATTAAATTTGAGCTTTGTTTTTTTCTTTTCATAAATCCTTTTATCCAACTGAATGCACAAAAATATATGCAATTACATCGGTAATATCTTAATAAGAATCACACATCATTCGATGATCAGTGACAGCCACCGACGCAAGTGGAATCCGAGAAAAGAATACGCCAAAAAGTTTTACCTCTGTTCTCATTTCATAAAATTTCAAAATTTTTGGAAGTTTTCTATTTTGTACTAAGTTGTC